AGAGAGAGAGAGAGAGAGAGAGAGAGAGAGAGAGAGCTTCTTCCCCATACTCTCCGACGTCATTCCCTTCTTCAGGATGGAAAGTTACTCCATTTTGATCGCAAGCAAAAACGGGAGCTCGCTGTATTTCTCTTATACGCGGTTCTTCGGCCAAATCCTTTGGGAGAGAGAGTTAAAAAAACGCATGTGCGAGAACCCAAAAATAACGGGTCGGGTCGGCGTCTTTTCTTCCTGCTACGTGGCGCTAATACGTTGGTGGCCGAACGTAGAGGAAGGTACCTTCACCGGACCAAATAAAAGTTCCCAAGTAGGGCTCGTCTAGTCGAGATCCAGTCGAGCGCATTCGGCTTAGCATGCCACTCCTTGTGGTCGAACGCTCTCCAAAACTCAACGTGACCGCTCTGCACCGTCCTAGCTGAAAGCTCCGATATTGGAGATCGGTGTTAGGGTTTTGCAGGGGATGTCCGGCACAGCAAAGGAAGGCGGTACCACCCGCCAGGTGACAGACATGCAGCTGGTCGCCGCCATTCCGAATTCTGTGGGCGCTGTAGTCGCCAAGGCTGGAACAGGCGACGGATCCATTGTTGAGTACGGGAAAGGCGCGGGGGGTGGCAGCGTGCTTAGAGAGGAGGAGGAGGATCTGGAAGTGAAGCTTCGCCGAATCATTGAGAACGTACCCGTCCGTGTTAGCAACACCTCCGGAAGCTCCGCTGGTTCCGGCTCCGGCGATTTCCATCAGGTCTCTCCCTCTTTCTCTCTTTCTATCTCTCTCGCTCTTTGAATATATTTTTATTTATTAATTATTACTTCATTAAATTGCACAGAAGATCTTATTGCTAGTCCTTGACTCATTGTCTGTTCGAATGCAAGTAGGATTAAAGGATCAAATTTGGTTGCTAGAAAAAGGAATGCAATGCATATAAAGTAAATGCAGTGACTTTGGAATATTTCAAAGTTGTTTGATTGTATGTAAAATAAATGCGGGGAAATGTTATTTATTTATCTATTTGGTTAAGGTATATGCAGAGTAAAAGCAAAAGCTGTGTATTTTGAATACTTTGATGCTATTTGGTTGGATGTGGTGTAATATTGAATTCAATATATCACTAAAATACAATGTTAACATTACACTTAATGTTTTAACGTTATAAAATTATTATTTGAGCAACGTGAAATTTTGATATATTGAAGCACATCAAAATAAGCAAAAAGGCATGCATAACAACTAATTATTTTTTACTACATTCATAAAAATAAATAATCATATTCAGAGTGAAATTATAATACTTTAAGGATAATTGTAACTTGAACTTTATTATTTCACATGTCCAAAATACATATGAATGCACAAATTTCAAAATATAAATCATAAGTCCAAAATAAATAAACATTACTATTTCATAAGTTATATATATATATATATATATTTATCGCAGTTATAACTCTAAAATAATCTAGTAATTACAACTTAAAATGATTAATATAACATAAAGTTTCATAGTATAAATCATTTATTTGGCCCCTTACACATCCATCTAGCCTTTAAATCTGTAGGTTTTGAGAGGAAGGAATTCACCCTTGAAGAGATTCTTCAATAAGTCATCATATATCGTATTACTCTCTTTCACAAAAAATTAGGAATACTTGATAGTTTTTTCATGAGTTATGTAAATATTTTTCTTTCTTGCGAGACTCTTGTTGTGCTTTATATTGCATTAACAATTTTAGTTACATTGCAGCCATCATAACAATATACTCACAAAGAGTTCGATTAATAACCGACACCTTATTCTTCTTTCTTATGGCACATCCTTTAAAAGATGATGGCAATGTTCACTTTTTCGTTCCTATGAAATCTTCTTTAATTTTCAATTAAACCCTACTAGCTTGCAATGTATCTACACCAATCTCCATAAATCTTGAGGCTTGTCATCTTCTAGGTATATATTTTGGGTTCCAAGTGGAATTTGAGAATTTCTAGATTTAGCCCACTCTCCAATCACATATCTTTCACCATTTTGCTTTCTTTAACTCCATTTAATATGTAATTAGAATATTCAAATAAGTAGCATCCTTGGGAAAATCTTCTAATATAACAAACTAGACAATATTAATCTCATGTTATTATTTTTAAACATGTACTAAAATAAATACCTGAATATGTGCTGCATAATCCTTGTGGCTCATCACTATCATCTTTTTATTTTCATCACAAGATATCCCTGATTTTTTTTTTTCAAATCTTTAATGTGAGTCCTTAGAGTGCTTTGGTGTCAAATCTTATTCTTTCATTGCTCACTTGTGAGCTCTTTCAAAATTTTCTTTTAATCTTTGTGCAACACCTTGATACACTGCATATTTAAAGCCTTGGGCATTAGTCATATTTGCATCAACATACTCAGTTATAATTTGCAACAATCCAACTATTTACTTTGATTTCAAACTCCACAAGAAAATTTAACTCTTCTTAGGCTTAGAAATTGATGTAAAATTTGTTTGTAATGGATTCATTAACACAAATCATAACAAATATCATTTCAGAAAACCATGTTAAATACATAATTTTTATTGTAAGAGTAGATGTAATAACATAAAAAGAAGAAAACTATTAGACATTTGTAAGTGAATTTGCAAAATATCATTCACATCAAAATATTCCACAAGAAAGCATTCTTTTCAAAATGAATATATAATATTGCTTGCTAAAGAAAGATAAGAGATTAATCCAAAATATTGTTGCTAATAACCACGTTTTGAATGCACTTCTGCATGGTATATGTGATTTCATCTCTTTTATCCAACCATTGATTATAGTTATCTACAATAATTTGACCTCTTCTTTTGGAGTGACTTCTTCTAGCCCATTTATCTTTAGAGAGAATAAAATATCACGCGTTATGTAATTATCCAATTATGCAATATAAAACAATTAAGAACAATATCAACTTGGGTTTGTAATGGAAAATAATGTTCAAAGTTCAAACTTTATGATTGCGAAACGAGTTCTTCAAAGAGGCGAAGGCACGCTCAACCGTTGTGTATCGAAGATTAAAAAGTTTCTTGCAATTTGTATGTTGAATAGAACTAAACTCCTTCAAGGGATACCTTGTCGCACGATATGGAGCTATAAAACCTTTTTCAGGTGGAGTAGCCACTGTAATCTAGATAATATTTACTAGAGATATTGACTTTAGTTTACTTTTTTGAAAAATTTCATTGATTATTCTGGAAGTTATCAACAACAACAACATCAAGCCTTTATTCCATTATGTGGGGTTGACTATATGAATCATTTTTTTTTTCATTGTGTCATGTTAAGAGTTAAATTCTCATTTAAATCTAATAAAACATATATTTTCTAATACTTTCTAACCAAGCTTTTTTTTTAGGTCTATCTCTACTTTTCTTAATATAGGCTAAATCTAATACATCTACTCTCTTAACTGGATATCAAAAGGCCGATGTTTTATGTGACCAAACCATCTAAGTTGACACTCTCTAATCTTATTTTCCACTGAGCTACTCCAACCTTTTCACATATATACTCGTTTCACATTCAGTCTCTATGAATGAAACCACTCATCCACATTAGCATCCTCATCTCTTCAACACTTAATGTAATTTTATACTTCTCTTTTAATGGCCAACATTCCACATCATAAAGCATTGTAGTTCTCATCACCATCTTATAGAATTTTCTCCTAAGTTTAAGGGGTATTTTTCTGTCACATAATATGCCTGATGCATTCCTCCACTTCAACCATCCAACTTGAATTCTACTAATAACATCCCGATCTATTTTATTATCAATTTGAACAGCAGACCCAAGAAATCTAAAACATGTACTCTTTTTAATGGTTTGATCATCTCACCCAAAGTCACAATCCCCCAACTAGATCTATTATTACTAAAATTACATTCCATATATTTAGTTTTAGATCTACTCAAAACCAAAACCTTCAGATTCTAAGGTTGGCCTCCATAACTCAAGTTTTTCTTCAACTCTCTTTTTAGTTTTATCAACAAGAAGAATATCATCAGCAAAAATCATACACCAGGGTACATCCTCTTGTCAATGCCTAGTAAGAACATCCATGACTAAAGAAAAAAGGTTTGGGCATTGATACTTATTATTGACGTTAAGAGATAATAAGCCTTTTTACCTTCTGGTACACGTAACCTATCAGTTCTTCTGATGCATTTCTAAGAACTCTTGTATGCTGAACTTTCCAACCAACAAGAACATATATGAATCTCAAATCAAATTCTACTGCTGATAACACATTTTGGGTTAGATACGATTTTTTTCTCTAAATGCGGATTCATTTTACTTAGGTCCCTTAGGTTTGATGTGTGTTCCATCTGTAGCACCAACACAATCCTATTTTTGTATAAATTATATTAGATGGAATACCATAGAACATGTTTGTTTTACACACGTGAATAGATTATACCTGAAAAAAAAGGCATGATGATTTCACCCTTCATTCAGGAAATGATCTGAAGGATGTGAGACTAAATGTTGAAATGATATTGGAGGGGAAGGAGTATATCTCAGCTACTGAAGTATTAGATGCAACATCTGATTGCTTGCCAGACGTGGTGAAGAATGCTATTGAATTGATAAATCACAGTTTGATGAAAGCGGCAGGGCAACCTTCTATGCAAATGCTGATTTCAGAGATGATTCTAAAGCTCTAACTGAAAATAATAGTTCTTTGGCAGCGAGTTCTTCAAGTTTTAAAATTAAACGCTTGAAGGAACTTAAATCTTTGGGACCTGTTGAAGTTTTGTCTAGGAAACGGAAGGGTGAAATGAAGATGGGTAAGAGTGGCGGGGAGAAATCCCCGGTGCTTAATTAAATGTCTTCGTTTATGTTTTGGAATTGTAGAGGAGCCAAGAAGGAGGCTTCTCTGTATCTCAGAGAAATTATTAAAGATAATTGGGTGTTTTTATTGGTTTGTTAGAAACTAAATTGGCTTCTATTGAGAGGAGGGATATTAATAGAATCATTGGGGAGGAATGGGATTTTTTTCATCATCCGGCTGTGGGGACGTCGGGTGGTATTCTTGTTCTTTGGAATAGAGTGGAGGTTTCTTTTGATGTTATTGAGAGCTCATGTGTGTTGGTGTTGGTTAAGTTTCCTAATGGGGTGTTCTGGAATGTGTCTACTGTGTATGGTATTAAAGATGTGTTTGTGAGAAGGGAGTTATGGGATAGAATGGAAAAGTTTTCTAATTCTAATATTCCTTCCATTATTGGTGGGGATTTTAATTGCTTGCTATCTAAAGAAGACAAGCGAGGAGGAAAGAGATTTGTTTTCTCTCAAGGGCCTTAGGAGAAGAGGGCTTTTTTGGCTAATAATGACTTTCATGATGTAGGTATAAGTGGTCCAAGATTTACTTGGTGCAACAACAAAGAAGGAACATAAAAAATTTGGGAAAGATTGGATTGATGTTTGATTAATTCGGCTGCCATTCAAAGTGTTCCACTTGCTCGGGTTAGGCATCTTGCAAGAGTTTCCTCAGATCATTATCCTATTGTTTTCAAGATCAACGAACGTCCTTGTCCTCAAATGAAGTTTTTTCGGTTTAAAGATGTATGGAAATCATTTCCTGCTACTTGGAATGTGGTCTTTAAAGCATGAAAGAAACCGGATTTTGGTGATGATGCAGAAATTCTAAACAGAAAATGAAGAGATCGTTGAAGGCTTTGTATTTATGGAATAAGAACAAATTG